TGTCTTTAGCATCATTTGTTATGTACATTTTCTTGTTTTTTTGGATGTTGGTAAAGGATTTTTTTTTTCTCTTGCAAATTTTTTTGGGTCCGTATTCATGTGAGATCATCTGGATTAAAATGATCTATTTGTATTTGAAGGGCAGAAACACACACGCGCGTGTGCAGTGGATGGAGAGACAGAGAGAGAGAGAGAGAGAGCTTCGATCCATTCATTGACTCACTCCCCAAATGGCCACAGTGGCCCCAGAGCTGAGCTGATCTGAAGCCAGGAGCCAGGAACTTCTTCCAGGTCTCCCAAGGACTTGGACCATTCTCAACTTCTTTCCCAGGCGTCTTAGCAGGGAGATGGATGGGAAGTGGAGCAGCAAGGATTCGAACCAGTGCCCAGGTGGGCTGCAGGCAGAGGCTTAGCTTCCTTGAGGTCAGTCTTTTCCTAAAAAAAGGGGCCACTGCCATTATGGAACCAACACTGGGACGCGCGGCTCAAGCCCAGATGACACACACACACACACACACACACACACACACACACACACACACGTGTCACCAACACACGTGAGCTCGTATCAACGTGGAGTCCCCAGGCACGGAGGGTCCAGTTCCCTGCTGCGTGCCAGAAAGCCACTGTCCCTTTGCCGGGGAGGGGGACGCAGAGTTCCTGAAATAACTTAGTAGGCTTAGGGGGGGAATAATCCATATGTGTGAGGGAGCAGGTGTCTGGGGGCCGGGATGAAGATTACAATTGGGGTGCCCATTTCTACGTCACAGTCCCAGCTCCCCCTGAGTCCAGATTCCAGCCAGGGGAGTCCGCCGGAGATGGTTCAAGTTGTAGGAGACCTGCAAGGACTTCCGGGCTCCTAGTGTTACGAAAAAAAAAATGGATTTATTTGAAAGACACAGAAATAAGACGAAGTGAGAAGGGTCTTCCACCTGCTAAATTACTCTTGCAACAACCAGGGTGAAACCAGGACTTCCTTTTGGATCTGCCACGTGGAATCCAAGCACATGGGCCATCCCCGATTGCTTTAACAGGGAGCTGGGTCGGAAGCGGAACAGCTGAGACGCCAGCCGGCATCCACCCACGTGGGAAGCTGCTTACGTGGCGCTCCCCCCACGCAAACCCAGGCATTCCAAAATGGGATTTACTTCCGTGTCCCAAGCAATGGCTTAACTGTTGGCTTAACCATCCTTGGCATGCCTGGACTCCAAAACAATTCCTTTGGCATAATAAACCTACTACGCTAACTCCGCATTTCGTGACCCTTGTCCATTCTTTGGTTTGCAAAAATTCTCTGCAAACCCTAGGATCCCATATTGGCACTGGTTCGTACCCCAGCGGCTCCACTTCCCATCCAGCTCCCTGCCTGTGGCCTGGGAAAGCAGCGGAGGACGGCCCAAAGCCTTGGGACCCTGCACCCGTGTGGGAGACCCAGAAGAGGCTCCTGGCTTCGGATTAACTCAGCTCTGGTCGTTGTGGCCATTTGGGGAGTGAGCTGGCAGATGGCAGATCTTCTTCTCTGTCTCTCCTTCTCTCTGTAAATGTGCCTTTTCAATAAAAAGAAATCTTGAAAAACAGAGTGTCTAGCGGGGAGTCACCTTGGTCCCGTGTGGTCCTCAGGAGCGACAGGTGGCTTCAGGGCCCTCTATGATCCTTTAACCCCTGCTCAGCTGGCAGTGGCAGGGGTGGCTCTGGGCTGGGCAGCCCATGTGCCCATGCTGCTTGGCGAAGCCGTCTGTCCACCTGGCGGTGACATGTTATAGGGTCTTGGGCATTTACGCTTCTATGGGGTATGGGCTATGGCCTAACTGAGGCTGAGTGGTGAGAAACCTCAGCATCCAAATCCCAACCATTTGTTGATGGCTCATTGCTACTAAGAAACTGCAAACTTGCAGGCCAAACGGCCTATGTGGCTTTCAGCGTCGATGGGATGGGGCTCCAATTCTTATCAGTCAAGGCCCAAGTCTGGTTATCTCACAGTAATGAAGTGGGTGTTTACCGTAATTGCTGGAGGCCTGGGCTGTCCAGCCGAGATAGGTAGGGAATGTATGGTATTCCCCCCGCCCCTCACCTAGCAGGCTATTGTGAATTGCCCCTTTTCAAGCTACTGTAGACTGTGCTGTTGGCTGCTGCACTCCAGAAAGGGGTGTTGGTCCCGGCCGGCCGGTTGGTCAGTTGGCTATCCGCTCTCACCCAAGAACCCAAACTCAGACATGCCGAACTTGAATAAACCATCCTTGTGCGCTTGCATCAACTTCAGACTCCTGACAATTTCTGGGGGAATCTCAGAATCTGGGCACGACAGTGGGACCTCGGGTGGGGTGGGGCGCGGTTCACGTTCAGGAGAGGGACATGCACGGACAAGGCCACTTCAAGGAAGTGAGGGTGTCGAGTCCGAGAGGGGGAACAGAGAGACATTTAAAGGTCAGTCTGAAGCACCAGCAGCACGCGTGGGAGACCTGAGCTGGGGTAGTTGGCATTGCCCATCCCCGAGCGCCACTCACTGGCACACGCTGAAGCCAAGGCTGGGACCTACCTGACACGGCAGGATTACAGAGTCAGATCAGCGGAAGCGTGAAATGAGGAGAAGTCCAGATAGTAAATAATGCTTGAGAAAATCGGGCGAATGGAGACTCGAGGTTGACTGCAGCAGCCAACGGACGTTGGGAGGGTCGCCTCATCCCCGGAGTGGCGAAACCGACAGCATTTCAGAACTGTCCAAACCACTTGGGCAGAACCCTCGGAGCAGGTACCACGTCAGAACCCTGGGTATTCACTGGGTGGCAGTTTGCCATCCCTGGGCACTAGAGCATCAGGGAAGCTGGGTGTGGCTTCCCTTGCTAACTCTTGCTTTCCCCCCAGAGAAAAGAAGAAATGGAAAATTTACAAACAATAATTTCACCCACTTTTCCCTAACCCTCAATCCTTCTCACCCTAGATTTAAAAAAAAAGAGTACATAGGGGTATCTGAGAAGTGCAGGGTCCCAAGGCTTTGGGTCGTCCTCCACTGCTTTCCCAGGCCACAGGCAGGGAGCTGAATGGGAAGTGGAGCAGCCGGGATTAGAACCAGCGCCCACATGGGATCCTGGTGCATCCAAGGCAAGGACTTTAGCCACTAGGCCACACTGCCAGGTTCGTGAGATAGTGAGATTTCTAAGATCCCCTAGGCAGCGAGCTCCCGGGCACTGGGAGCGTGTTAACAATAAAGGCACATGTCCAAGGGATTGCAGAAGAAAAATGCCTGCTTCCTTCCTGGCACAGGCGTTCAGCACGGTGCTGAAAGCTGCCAGCTGCCTCCCGTATTGGAAAGCCCTGGCATTCCGTGCCGGCTCAGCTCCTCACTCCAGCTCCCTGTTCCTTGGACCTCTGCCCTCCGGGTGGGAGACCTACCTCGAGAGCTTGACTCCTGGCTTCGGTCTGGTCCAGATCTGGCTGCTGTGGGCATTTGGAACGTGAATCTGTGGGTGGGAGAGCTTTCTGTCTTTTCAAACAAGTCTGAAGGATAAATGAGGGTCCCTCAGGTTTCCTGGCAGCCTCGAGGGGCAAGCGGGAGTGTGTGCATCCCCCCAGCAACCTCTCCTTGCATCTGTGTGTGTGTGTGTATGTGGCTGGTCCACCCAGGTGACCACTGGGTCCAGTGTCTTTGAGTGCTGCAGTGCTGCCCTCTGTTGGGCAGAAAGAGAAAAGTCTCCGTGGTGTGAGCAGGATTCTGGAATTGACCGAGCGGTTCAAAGCTTCAGGATGCCGAATTGAAGGTGGACTGAAGGAATCCCAGCGGCTTTCACAACGTGAATTTCAAAGGCAGAGACACCTCCCACTGGTTCCCTGCGTCAATGCTGGTAACAGCCAGGACTTGGCCAGATTGAAGCTGAGAGCTGGAGATGGAGTGTGTGTCTCCCACACGGGCAGCAGGGACCCAAGTGCTGGCTGGCAGACCCTGTCCCCAACTGCTGTCCCCAGACCCGCCAGAATACGCATTCGCGGGGGTGCTGGAATTGGGCACAGGGCTGGGACTCGAACCTAAGGCTTTTGGATACGGGAGGCCTCAGGGGGGTGGCCTGACCATGAGACCTGGCTGCTGATCCACTTCCCATCCAGCTCCCTCTCTCCCTACCTACTGATGGGGCTGGGAAAGCAGCAGAGGATGGCCCACGTGCTTGGGGCTCTGCACCCACGGGGGACACGTGGGTGGAACTCCTGGCTGGCAGCAGCACTGGGCTCAGCTGCAACTCTCCTGCGCCTTTGTTGGGGAGGAGCCAGCCAAGGGGGGGGGGTGCTTTGCTGGCATTTGTCTCTACCTCTTATTCGAAATGAGTATAGATTAAACTTCGCAGGGCGCCTTAAGTGTTGGGTATTGTTGCAGGCATAGAAACAGGGTTCAGAGGGCAGGACCCCACGGAGTGGGGGTGAGCCTAGGAGGGGCCTGTGGACCAGGACTCCAGTGGGGGGAAAGGGGGGGGTAAGCCTTGGGATGCTGTAAAGGAACCAAGACCCCAGAAGAGGCCAAGCTATGAGGGGACTGTGTGCTAGGACCCCAATGTGGGCCAAGGTTGTGGTGCTGAGTCTGGGGGATTGTAGGGGGGTGGACCGCTCCTCCGCCTCCCAGGGGGGATGAGCCTGGCTGGGGGCGGTCATTGGCCATGACCCGAGCAGGGGGTGAGCCTAGAGGACTGAAGGGGCCAGAGCCCAGATGACCCCATCAGTGGTGGGGCTTGTGTGTGCGGGGGGGCAGGGGGGTCGGTTAGGACTCTTATAGAGACTGAGCTGTAGGGGGTTCTTGGGCCAGGACCCCAGCAGAGGCTGAGCTGTTGAGGGGGGCTGGTGGGCCAGGATCCTAGCGGAGGACCCGAGCTGGTGGGCCGAGTCTGTGTTGCCTGTAGGTTGAGCCCAGAGACGGGGCGCGTGTGTGTGTGAAGGGATGGGGGCGCGCACATAAGCCAGCGCCACTGGCGGGAGTGGTCTTTTATTGTCCACTCCACCTGCCACCCCTCACCCCGCTCTCAGTAGCACTTGCGGTAGACGATGTGCGGGCCCTGCTCCTCGTACTCCTCACGCAAGATCCAGCAGGACTGGAAGGCCCTCAGGGAGGCGAGGATGGAGCCGCCGATCCACACGGAGAAGTGGCGCGTGGGTTGCGCCGCCACCACCACGTGCGCCTCGGGCGGCAGCGAGCGCAGCAGCTCGGCACGGAAACGGCCCTCGAAGCCGGGGAAGAGGGACGAGCCGCCACACAGCAGCACGTTGTGCGCCACGTCGGAGCGCGCATCCAGCGACACCTTGCGCAGGCTCTGCTCGGCCATGGTGGGCAAGCCCACGGGTGCCAGCCCTGGCATCGGAGGTGGCCGGAACAAGAGTTCCGGGCACTGAAATAACTCTTTGCCTAACGTGACCGTGCGCCCGTCGGGCAGCCGCAACGTCTGGCGACACTCGTGTTCCGGGCGCGCCAGTTCCCGCTGGATGTCGGCGGCCACGTAGCAGTAACGATGTTTGATGTTCTCCACCGTGTTCAGGTCCTGTTGGCCCAGCGGGAAGCCGGAGCCCAGCAGCACCTCGGCCAAGAAGGCAGTCAGATGGTTCCCAGCCAGATCCAGGCGCTCGGTGGCGTGTGGCAGGTTGTAGCCTTGGAAGACGGGCACGGTGTAGGTGACGCCATGGCCCGTGTCCACCACCAACCCGCTGACCCGGCCATGCGCGTAGGCTGACAGCACCGACTGCGACGCCACGTACATGGCAGGTGCATGCAGCGACTCAAACGCCACTTCCACCAGCTTCTCGCGGTTGGTGGCCGGGCTGAAGGGTGGGTCTGAGAAGAGCAGCGGGTGGTCCTGAGGGCCCACGCGCAGGTCGTGCTCCAGCAGGTGCCTCCACAGGACCTCGGCCGCCTCCCAGTCCACCACGATGCCGTGGCGCAGCGGCTGCACCAGTGCCAGCTCCGGGTGCGCGCGCGCAGCCTCCCCGATGTATGTCTCCAGCCTGGGCTGCTGCTCCGTGTCTGTCGGCTTCCGGGCCTGGCAGCCCAGGACGGTGGCCACGGTGTAGATGGGTCGCGTCTGCCCGGCGAAGCCCACCTTACAGGTGCCTGTACCCATGTCGATCACCACAGCACCGGTCCGGGGAGGCGGTTGCTGATCACCCACCGTGCCCGGTGCTGGGAAGGAGTTGGAGCTGGTTTCTGGAGCTGCGCCCTTGGAGTTCAGATCTGTCTGGGGGGCGCCCACGGAAGAGCTCTGTGCGTCTTCCGACGTGGTGGGTTTATGCGCGTCCATGGCTGCGGATGGCCTCGGCGTGAGTGAGGTATATGCCGAGGGAGGGGAAGAGCTTGAGGTTTGGCCAGGGGGTCCCCCTCCCCTGCAGAGACTGAGGGGGCCCCTCCCCCGGGCATCCGGGAGCGGGGGAAGGGAGTGGGGCGGCGGGCCTGGGGTCTGTGATGTCACTTGGGTGATGACTTCACAAGACAGGGCCAGGGGCAGCCCTTCTGGACCCTTCTGGACCCTTCTGGAAGTCTCCATCTGTGCCGGATGCCCCCAGACCCCAGGGCAGACTTTTCCAGAAGAGGGGAACCCAGGCGTCTTTCTCTCTCTCTCTGTCTCTCTCTCTGTCTCTCTCTCTCTCTCTCTCTCGCAGCGCCTTGCCATGTGATAAGACAGAACAGTCAGCCGGGAGGTGGCCATGAGTCTCCTTGGGGTCACCCCTGCCATGGCTCTCTGGTCTCTGAAAGGAGCCTGGGGTGGAGGTAGGGAGCACAGGGGCGGAGCACTCCGACTTGGGTGTTTCCTGGCCCGGGACTCTCCCTGTCCTCGCTGACCCTTCCTGTCTTAGGAATTTTGCCCCTTCACGTCTTGCTGGGAGGGACTGGGGAAGCAGAGGATGGGCACCCTGCCTTAGGCCGCCGCTGCTGGCGCCCTTTGAGTCTTGGCTGCTCCACTTGTTACTTATTTATTTCAATATTTGCAATGGTGTTAAAGAAAGAGAGGGAGAGAGAGATATAGCTTCCATCTGCTCATTCACTTCCCAGGTGGTTGCAAAGGCCAGCGCTGGGCAAGGTGGAAGCCAGGAGTTGAGTCCAGCTTTAACTATTGGGTGGCGGGAGGAACCCAAGGCACCTGAACCACCCTTCACTGGCTTTGCATTAGCAAGGAGGAGCCAGGACTCCAGCCAGTGCTAGCTACATTGCAGGATGGGTCAGCATTGTGGGCAGCTGCTTAGCTCACTGTGCCACAGCGCCGTCCCCAGGACCAACTCGTTTATTAACAAGATGATGCTTCAGCTAGGTCTGGGCTAGGATGAGAACAGGAGCCAAGAACTCCGCCCAGATTTCCACGTGAGCGTGTGTGTGTGCCATGTTCCTCTGTCTTAGCCCGATGTGTTAGTAGGAAGCTGTGCCCTGGTGCTGCACCCTGCTTCCTTAATGAAGAAAGTGCAGTGTTGAGTGTTTCCACGCAGACTGTCTTGTGAGCTGGGTTCAAGTGGGCTTGGAAAGCAGATTTTGTAATGAATTGAGTGAAGCTTGTAAGCGTGTCCGTGCTGGGTGGCTTGTTGCCAGCTCATTCGTGAATAGTTATGGCATCGATGACTAATGCCTTGCCCTGCGCTTGGAAGCATAGAACGTTGGCATGACACAAGGAGGCTCTGATAGCTACTGCCCGCTGGGCAACAGTCTCCCCGCATGTCACTGTGTCGCACCCTCTTGCAACTGTCCTTCTCAGCTGTGTTTGGAGCAGTTCCTTATGCTTTGGTCTTCTGTCACCTGTCACCTCCTGTGGTGGCTCATTGGCCCTTATGTGAATAAAGTGATTGACACCACACAGTTCACATCTTCCCAGAAGACTTCAGAGGAATAGCTGCCCCACTCCAAGGAGGCTGGCTGTCCCAATCCTGTACCCCCGTCACGGTTTCATTACTCCAAAGAAAGCCCCTGGACACGATCTTTAGCTTTGTGTAGAGTGGGGTGCTGTGTGAGTGGCCGTCAGCGGCAATGGAGTCGCACCCACAAAAGAACTTAGCTGTTTGCTGTAGTCATTGATCCACATCAGCATGGCCCATTCCCCCCGTGGTTAATTGAGAACAGAGTCGGTGTTTTTCCAGCATTCCTCCAGGGATAAGCCAAATGTCAAGGGCTCCCCGAATTTGTCCCTAGTGGAAAGAGGAGGGGGGGACCCCGAGGGCTTCTGATGCAACTGCCTTCCCTGGAGTCCTCGTGGCCCAGACGATGACGCCTGTCTGTGCACAGGTTAAACGCAAGTCGCTGTCATCTGGGGAGACTTCATCAGGAAATATCCTGGCGTGAGTTAGGTTGATGGGTGTATGGGGCTGTTGGACCGGGCGACCCTCTGCAGGCAGACCCTGGTGAGTGAGTGTGTGAGATTTTTGGGACACAAGTTTGTGAGGCTCTCGGGGGTTCAGGCGTGATGAAGAAACTCCACAGTCATGGCAGGGAGCATCCATGCAACTGGTAATGTTGTTTCCATGGCATGTTGCCTTTGTTGAATTCACCCGGGAGGGTGGATTCTTGGCGTTCTCTCTGACATTTGCTAACCCGAAGGCAGGTGTCTAGTTCTTGGGTCAAATGCATTTTTTTTTTCCTGTTCATTGTCATTATTGTGAACCCAAGAAGGCTGGACCTGGAGCTAGCAGATGGCCACTCATTTCAGTTTCCACACTAAGAAATGTTGGAGACACGGATCTGGGACCAGCACGACCTGTCTGCCCTGTGGCTTGTGGTCACCTTCAGCTGCCTTGCTTAGGATCCTGGCCTTTCGTTAGCATGAATTGTCAAGTTGAAACTCCTGGGCAGCCAAGTTGAGTATGAGCTGCCAAGAAAAGGTACTACCTGGTATAGAGAGAGCTCAGAGAGTTGGGAATCAGACAAGCGGGCACTTCCAGAGCCCAGCTGTGTGACTTTGGGTAGCCACTCTCTCTTAGATCCTTGGTCCATAATGCTGGATATTATTATTTCCTTTTATTTCATCCAAGATGAAACATCCAGTTCTGTTCATTTGACCTTGGGGTGGGAGGTGAGGATGTGATGAGGTGACTGGAAATTTTGTTTCAAGATTTATTTTATTGTTATTGCAAAGTCAGATATACAGGGAGGAGAGACTGAGAGGAAGATCTTCTGTCTGATGATTCACTCCCCAAATGACCGCAATGGCCGGTGATGCACCGATCCAAAACCAAGAGCCAGGAACTTCTTCCAGGTCTCCCATGCAGGTGCAGGGTCCCAAGGCTTTGGGCCATCCTCGACTGCTTTCCCAGGCCACAAGCAGGGAGCTGGATGGGAAGCAGGGCCGCCAGGGTTAGAACCGGCGCACATATAGGATCCTGGCACGTTCAAGGTGAGGACTTTAGCCACTAAGCCACCATGCCAAATCCCGGAATTTTTTTTTCCCTGAAAGAAAATAGTTTTAGGGAGGAAAGAACATGTCTACAGCTCCAGACACGAAGGAGATCCCAGCGGTGCTGGGGAATGGGGCCCAGAGGGTTTTCCTTGTTCTTAAACACAATCAGAGCAGATGAGGCCCCTTGGGCACTCTCTGGAGAGAAGACGAGTGTGGGTGAATCTGACACTGAATGAGCATCTTTGGGAATCAGAGGAGCCCGTGGGTCGGGATCTGGGTGAGTCACACTGCGTGAAGATGTGGAGGACCACTCGCAAGCTTCTGGCAGAGACGACCGAGTTTTAGGCACAGCTGTTTTCTCTCCCCAGCCCAGACAGTATGCAGTCCCCGATCCCAGGAGGTGGAGGGGCAGTTGTGGAATGGGCTGTGAGTCCAGTGGGTTGGTGAGTGTGCCCTTGGTACAGGCCAGACCGGGGCGTGATCACGCATAACCCAGTAATGGAATGGAGCATTCTCTCTCTCTCAGTCTGTGTGTGTGTGTTTAGAAAGAGAGAGAGAGAGGGAGGGGAGGGGAGGGGAGAGAGGAAGAGAGAGAAAGAATAGCAAATTCTAGCTATTTAGTCCAGTAGATGACTTTTAGTGGGATACAGAGAGAAAGAGATGGAGAGGAAAGAGAGAGAGGTCGGGATGTCTTCCATTAATAGGTGCAATTCCGAAATGGTTTCAATAGCCAAGGCTGGGCTGCTCTGAAGTCAGAATCTAGGAGCTTCTTCCAGGTCTCCCACGTGGGTGAAGGGGCCCATGGATTTGAGCTATCCTCCACAAACTGGCGCCCATATGGGATTTCAGTGCTTGCAAGATGAGGATTTCGCTACTGAGTAATCTATAGAGGCAATTTAAAAATATTTGTTTATTTTTACTGGAAAGGCAGATTTACAGAGAGCGAGAAGGAATAACACAGAGAGAAAGATCTTTGATCTACTGATTCACTCCCCAAGTGGCCGCAATGGCCAGAGCTGAGATGATTCAAAGCCAGGAGTTGGGAAGCAGGAGCTTCTTCTGTGTCTCCCACCTGAGTGAAGGATTCCACAGACTTGGACTGTCCCCCGCTGCTTTCCCAGACCATAAACCAGGAGCTGGATTCAAAATGGGGCAGCCAGGACTTGAGCTGGCATTCGTACGGCATGCTGCTGGTACTTGCAGGCAGAGAAAATTTCTGAATATGACAATTTCACTTCTTCCCGTGTAAAAAAAAAAAAATCTTGGATGTGTCCACTCAAAGCATCCTGCCACAGGTCTCCTCTTCTTCCTCTGGACGAAGGCTCTTGTGTAAAACATGAGGCATGAGAACCAATCGGTGTCGTCGGACTTTATTTTGATAGGACTCTTCGGTCCATCGAGGCTAGGACATCTCCTGTTTTGCCTGGTGGCTGCTATGTTCACCGTGGGCCTACTGGGTAACACCACTCTCCTCTTATTGATCCACGTGGACTCCCGGCTCCACACACCCATGTACCTCCTGCTCAGCCAACTCTCCCTGTTGGATGTTGGCTTCCCCTTGGTCACCATCCCCAAGATGGCAGCAGACTTTCCTCAGGGAGAGAGTTTCATCTCTTTTGGGGGTTGTGCGGCTCAGCTCTTCTTCCTGACGCTGATGGGTGTGGCTGAGGGTGTCCTGCTAGCTCTCATGTCCTATGACCGCTACGTGGCCGTGTGCCATCCCTTGCAGTATCCCATGCTCATGAGACATCAGGTGTGCCTGCTCATGGTGGCTGCTTCCTGGTTGGCAGGTGTCATCAACGCCTGCGTCCAGACGTCCATCACATTGCATTTTCCCTATTGTGCTTTGCGCACCGTGGACCACTTCTTCTGTGAAGTGCCAGCCCTGCTGAAGCTCTCCTGCGCTGACACCTCCGCCTATGAGTTGG